ATATCGATTTATTACCCATGTCATGACTCACGTGTAAGGCAGTCATGTGATCTTGCCGTTTCCCGCTCTCGCCTGTTTTGGTGACACTGCTCAATGACTGGCTCCAGATTACTTTGATATTCTGCGTCACTTGTGGTTTTAGGTAAGCCATGCAGGCATTTAATAAAAAACATAATACCTTAGAACAGATTAATATATGTTTGATGACCTTTTATTCGCAAAAGCGTTACAAACAAGTGGGACAACATTGATCTACGGGTACTCGAATCCGGTTCGGGTATTGTCTGCCGGGTACTCGAGTTCAGTTTTCATACCCGGTCGCAACCCTAGTGTAATTACTATTTGCGTTAAGTGAAGAATTTCCTGTTCGCTTGGTAACTAACAATGGTACCTTAGAGTCTCGCGGGATCCTCACATACATCTGCTTCAAGCGCGGAAACATGCCTTGTTACAATGTGTGGTGATTCAGATACATGTATTAATAAGCACACAGCTGGGTGTCGATCTTGCAATATCACATATCAAAATCAGTACAGACTGTCACAAACTAACTTAAAGCTGTTGTGTTAGGCCAGAGAGCCAAGCTGTGTTCCATATGTCCCAGAAATGTAAGCGAAAGTAGATGTTCTTCTTTACGTAAAAGCGGCCTTGAATATCTAGTTTTCCCTCAATACATAACGATCGAGATCTGTGAAGATCCGGCGTAGAATGGGTCTTCAGCAACCCATGCTTGCTGTAAACAGCGACTAAGCTTGTCGTAAGAGGCGACTAACGGGATCGGGAAGTCAGGCTCGCTAACTTGGTTGATGTCATCGTATCCAAATTGCATGGATTGATCCTCATGATGTCAATCACTGAATTGTCTGGTCCAGACTCGATGATTTACAGACCGCCGTCATATAGCTTGAATATTGCTGAGTGCGGCGTTAAACAACAAACAAACAAAATGAAGTAGGTGTCATATTCACGTAGGTGTCATGTAGCTTGATCCCCTGACATTGAATTTGGTCTGAATCCATTCGATGTAAGTCGTAATTGGGAAACATGCATCATTGCCTCATATGATATTCAGATCTTATGGCACCTTACATGTGTTGGGTCGTGAATTATCCAATTACTGATTTATATGACCATTGCACACACAAACCCTTCCTCCCCACCCACTGATCCGCATCCCCCACCCCACCCCGCCCCCCACACACACGCACACACCCCTCCGCCTCCCTTGACCGTTATACTTTTTCTTCTTTATGAATATAGGATGACTGTGACAATGATAGATTTGTATTCAGTGCCGAAAAAGTTTTTATCATGTTACACGCGGTGTGTGTCAAATCAATATTTATTCTGAAACCACTCTCAGACCAATTAATCATTGTCATGTGCGTTTTATGTACCTTAAAAGTCTTATCTCAGAGTGTATTTACAAACTAGCCTGTTGGGATTCCGAGAAAGAATAGGTCCTTAGCAGCAAGGAAATGAACAGAGCTATTTACGCATTACATGTGTACGTGGTCTCGCGTGGGTTTCTTTACCCCGAAATGATATTTGTAAATTATCGGAAATGTAAATCGTTTAAAAAAGAAATACATTTCTGGTTGTGTTATCATTCAGGCTATGTATATAGTGCATTTTGCTTTTGACAATTTTTTCTAATTTAAGAGATAGACATACCATCCTTTTCATGGAGCTAGGTTACCTGTAAATATGACTACGCCAAGTTGATTCTGGAGCATGATCGAGAAATAAGTTAGTTCAGAATGTAAATATTAGCTTCGATGCGACCATTAAATCAGTGTTTCAGTCAGAGGAGGTTATTGTGATTTGACACCTTTGATAGACCAATAAGAATCGAGTATTTTCTAAATGTAAGGTAGAATCACATGTGCATTAACAATGTGTTGTATTTCAGGATTCTCAAGTTGTGGACTTAAACGTTGATGGTCGACATCTGACAACCTCCCTGTCCACCCTCACCAAGTACCCGGACTCCATGTTGGCCGCCATGTTTAGTGGAAGGCATCCGGTAGCCAAGGACAAAGATGGCCGCTGTTTCATCGATGTAGATGGTGATGTGTTTGTTCATATCCTCAACTTTCTGAGATTCGGGAAATGTGCCTCCACCCGAAAGAGCATCAGAGGTTAATGAATATGCGGAGTACTTTGGATTACAGGAACTGAAGGCACCTGTCCCCGAAGACTTTGAACAAGTGCTCTACGGAATATGGAAAAAAAGCTACCTGACTACCAAAGTCAATGGGATTGTGTGAAAAGTAAATTGAACGATATTCCCACAAGTTACTTTTACATTTGCGCAATAAAGTCTGATTGTCGATACTGCAGAATCAGTGACCCCAGGCAATTATTACACTATTGCCTTAATGTTTGAATCAAACAGAACCTTGCTTTTCAATCTTCTTGCAGTTGACATGAAAAGACCAAATTGATCCAAATTGTCACACATTGAGTCGACAGATAATTTTGATGAAAGGAATGTGAATCAGCCGTGGCATGGGTGGAGAGCTCTGTTGCCTGCTGCTGTGATTTTGAAGCGCTGGGTCATTGGTCAATGTTCGTCTAATTGCTGATCAAATCTAGCAAGACCTAGTATTATTATTACGGAACATTTCTTTTTAATGTATATAGACTCAAACTCAAAACAGGATATGGATGAAGGACAACTGTTAACCCGTCACAGAGCGATTTACATTTTGCTGCTTCTCTAGGTTCTTCATTTCCTTGGATTTCCGTGTCAGAATAGGCCCCTTGTTACGTGTTGCCAATGGCGACCGAGGTGGGTACGCTGGCTGATTGTGTGCCACTTGTACCAATCAGCGTTTTAGATGATGTTAAATACCTGAAATATTGCTTACTGGCGTAAAACAAATCCGTTGCCATTGTGCCGAACCAGGTGGGTTTTTGTCGCTTTAATTTAAGGCCAGGACACAAACATTTTTAAAATGAAATTTGTTACTTTTGTGCTTACTTTTTGACATATGTACAATGTAAAAGAATGTATGTGAATATTGTTAATAGCTGAAATGATTAAAGCTTGCAGTACACTGGGTTCCTTTTCACTCTTGACTTGTTTTGAACCCATTGTGAGAGTGAAGAAGAGTATTCAGAATTCAATGTTGGTCTTGGTAAAAACAAATTGTTCCTTGTGTTGGTTCAGTTATAGTAGAAATCTATTTGATGTGCGTCTCCTAATTACGACACGAAAAAGCATCTTTCCTGACGTTTTGAAAAGTGTTGGTATTGATGAAAATGCATACATTTTGCAAGCATTCCAAATCATTTGGTTATAGTTATATGTATGACTAGTTTGGAAATGTAAGAGAAATGCACACACTTACATCAGTGTCCATACCCTCCTTTAATCCTGCAGGTGTGTTACGTCATATGTGCTAAGGGGTAGCGACACACAACGAAATTAATTACTTTTACATGTGTACACATGTATTTGTGTTAATTTGGACAATTTACAATTTCAAACCTTAATTTCAAACGTTAGAAATGAATCATTTCCCTTAAATGTCCCGGTACAGAAATATTTAGGCATTGTACAAATGCCTAACGCAGGTTTCTGTAAACAAAGTCACAGCTCGTTAGGACAATGAACGCTCACTACATTAGCAAGTGAACATTTAAGCGCTTACTTTTCGAACAACTCAAATATTTTCCAAGAAAACATTTATGTGAACTTTTCACTTGTACTTTAAACATCATAATTTGTTTAGGCCTTCATTTTAGTTAACCACAGTTACAGTCTAGTGACAGGTGATTGGGACCCAGAAACTTAATTGGAATCCATGCAATGGAAGCACCCCAATTCTCCCCCTCCGAGGAAGTTTTGCACTCAACCATCGGCTGTCAAGGGAATGGCCACCATAGTTTGGGATGCAAGAGGCATATTACTGATTGATAACATGCCACAGCCCGCCATATGTGAATGTGGATTCGAACAGTTAAATCATCCACCCTACAGCCCAGACTTAGCCCCCAGTGACTATTTCCTGTTCCCGCAAATGGAATCTGCCCTACGTGGTAGACGCTTCAAGGATGAAGAATACAAAAAGACTGTCACAGAGGCATGGTTAGAGGGTCAATCTGCCGATTTCCATAAAAGGAGTATCAAAAACTTGAAGGACCAATGGAATAAGTGTATTGAGGTGAATGGAGATTATATTTAAAAATAAAAGTGCAAAAGATATTCTGCGACTTGGTCTCTAATTGAAGTTGCAAAACGTATTTAACGCCCCTACGTAATATGTTTTCTTCCTGCGAACAGCATGTGTGTTGTTACAATTTTCTTAAATGGACCATATTGCTGTCTGGGCTGATACGGACAAGTCTTTTCTATTGCATGTTAATCTTGACTACTCATCGAGATTTGGGTCGCGGCTGTTTGCTCAACATAAAATTAATATTTATTTATTGTTTTCAGAAAACTGTAAATGAATCACTAATACAGTTTGTTGTTAATGTATCAAATCACCCCCATCTAGTTTACTGACGAAACGTATAACATAATCTTAACACACTGGTGAGCAGATAAACATCCAGTGTTTTAAGCCTTTTTTAATATTGGCTATTATTGTGCACAGCCACCAGTAGCTAAATCCAGCTGGGTTTATTATGCAGGAAGCCGGGTTACTGTAAGTCCCCATGATCCCCAAGCGAGGTGGCCTAGCTTTGGTTACTGGTGACCTATAGCCCGTGTTTGAAAACTCTATACATGATATTGTTATGTTCAAATATGTTTCATAAATTGATTTTAAATATTACTTTACATAAATTACTCAAATGTGAGTAACTTAACTTGGTCTCGTCACTATATGACCGAAATAATACCGATGGGCCGTTAAATTTTAACTCACTGACTCTTATCTTCTGCCTGATAATATATTAGAGTTTTAAATTGGTCAGGTTTACAGACTAATAAATCGCGCCGAGGTCAAAGTTTAAGTTTGCACAGTGCATATCTTTTTCTGCTTATCTTATCATGAACAAGATCACAATGCAATATTACCGGGACACAACTCCACGCGTTTCTGCATTCGTAGTTACACAGCGACTTGAGGTAGGTTGCCTTCTATAAATCTCTCTACCAGTCGACATTAGGGTAGGACGGTACTCTCGTTCATTACTAGTTCTGGAATTGTATGTTATCACTTTATTATCACCCTAATGGTGACGTCACGCTATTTTGAACCAGGAATTCACTGGCCATTCGTGCAAATTTGACTCAACGCCATTTTCATTATCGTTGAGAGAAATTACCAATCTCAATACGGTTGAAGTCAGAGAAATCACATGAATTTTCGTGTCTCGTTGATTCTACTTCCGGAATCAGAAAAAGCAGAGATGCTTTAAAATCTCTATATTTAACATATCTTTCTTTGAACCAATGTAGAGGGCAGAGGAGGTGGGACAATTTGTAATGATTTAAGAATCGCTATACACGGGGATAGAAGGTATGAGTTTAATTTGGACTAGACAGGGTAAACTTGAAACGAATTAATCTGGCTTCAGCTTTAACCTGTGTGTGTGTGTATGTGTGTGTATGTATGTATGTATGTATGTATGTATGTATGTATGTATGTATGTATGTGTGTGTGTGTGTGTGTGTGTGTGTGTGTGTGTGTGTGTGTGTGTGTGTGTGTGTGTGTGTGTGTGTGTGTGTGTGTGTGTGTGTGTGTGTGTGTGTGTGTGTGTGTGTGTGTGTGTGTGTGTGTGTGTGTGTGTGTGTGTGTGTGTGTGTGTGTGTGTGAGCTAATACGCACATATTCGCGGGTTCGTTCCACAGCTGCTTTCGAAATCCAACACTCCATACTTTTGTGTATATAATACCATTATAAACTGTATAACCAGCCTCAAGAGACCTGCTTTAAAATGATCCGTAACTCATATTATCAAACATTTGTTTGCCTGGCCCAGAACCGATTATTTACAGCCCGCCCTAATATTGTTAGATTACAGGTACATCATAACATGCACGCATTACCTCATCACAACGAGCTGTAAAAAAGCCGCAATATCCGAGTAACGCCAATCCGAGAGTACATGCGTGATGGTGTAGGTCTGTAGGCGTGCCAGGTATGACTGAGGGATCGTGTCTAGGCTAATATGACCTGTAACCTACATGTACCTGGCTATGGCGATTTCCGGTTTACCGCAATATGATTTCATTGTGATTGACCCCCGTAGTTACATTATAAAGTTAGTTACAAATAAACATAGTATCATCAAATATTAAGGCTTGTTGTCCCTTTTCCACATTTTGTCAGTTAGGTCATTGCATTATATTTTTTCAGATAGAACTTTTTCTATCATACTCCCTCGAAAACCTCAGTGCAGGGCATAGCCCAGATTCCAGCTGTGTATCATTTATTATTTCCCAGCACCATACACGTGCGGCAAGGTGTTAAAAGTCTAGCATGTGTATTACTGTTGAGAATTGAGATAAACACCGCTTATTACAGTATTTCATTCAGGGCGATTCTGGTGGTTTGTTTTTTAAAAACACGATCATGTTTCTAAAGGATGCAACTGTGCATATCACCTTGCTTTAGACGACTGGGCCACTTGAAGCCCCATCTGTCAGTTACCCCACTTATAACCCCAACTGAACTGCTGAATTGTTGTTTAAAGTGGTCTTTAACAAACCATTCACTCAAATTGACAGGAACCAACTCACATTCTTAAATTTACCCCACTTTTCTTTTGTTTCTAGATAGAAACCTACAAGCAATACTCGACACCCTGAACACGTGACTTCACAAAGCATATTTTGACATTATGGAGGTAAGTGTACGATGTAATTGTTTTTCCTATTGAAACAATGTGGTTCAAGAAAATGTGTCAACATTTACTTAACTGCACATTGAGTGTGAGGATGAGTAGGCATCTAAGGTCACAGCGGCAACATTTCTGTCAAAAGTGTCCAAACCGTGTGTATCACCTGTTTCCCCAGTGCGATGAGTCATGACCGAAACATGTTACTACCCAAATTCTACCGGTAGGGCAGACACATACTTCCCCTTTTCGCGAACACCTGGTGTCATCACTTTTAGTGATCCATTCAAATTGTCACCGCCGTTTTGTCTTTAAAGCCTCAAACTATTGTTCTGCGGATAATAATACTCGATACTTTTATGCCCTGGCGTTGGCGGTTTATTATAATTCACTGCATCAACAACATGGATGCCAAGATTGTGTAAAATCTGAACAAATCACAAATTAACGCCAAAGGAATTGTAATCTAATAAGAACCTTAACTCACTTTGCACAAGAGTGTTCAAACAAAGAAACTACTAGCTATATAGTAGAAAGGCAAACTAGAGTTCTCTATTTAATTAATGAAGCAGGGGCCCTTTAGGATCCGGGGTAGAGTGAGTGAGTGAGTGTTTAACGTCACATCGGCAGTAATTCAACAATATCGTGAAGAGAAGTTATACATTAATAAAACAAATATTTAGATTAAATAGAAAACTGTCAAACGATGGACAGTATAATAACTAAAATATCACTGATGCGATGTAAAACTGGTTGAGAATATTAAAAAGCAGGAAGTAAGAGCGTGGGTAGAAAAGGTCTTGACAACGAATGCTTGCCGTTATCGGCGACTATCGAGATCGGGTGCTATACACAGGTGCAGGACGCACATATCTGAAAACAATATAATAAATAATTAAAGTGACGGCATACCTAATCTCTCACGGTAAACACCCAGTGCACAGACAACACAGCAAACGCTATCTTTATGGGACTAACATCGAACTACCAACTCGTGTTTCGTAGTATGTGGTCTAGTGTAATTTAGGGTTGCGACGGGTACTCGAGTACCCAATAACGGGTCGGGTAGCTTAGGACTCGAGTCCAATTTTCAGGACTCGAGTACCCGTTCAGGGGAGATAGTTATGCAATCATCATGAATTAAGTCTGTTCTCAGTAGTCTAGATCTTATACTTACCAGATCTGATTTAGTACTTTCCATGAGACAGGCGTACAATGAGAAAGTCCATGTTGTGGTGATAAGTCTTCTAGTGTAATTACTACTTGCGTCAGGTGAAGAATTTCCTGTTCGCTTGGTACCTAACAATGGTACCTTAGTGTCTCGCGGGATCGTCGAATACATCTGCCTCCAGCGCGGAAAAATGCCTTGTTACAATGTGTGGTGATTCAGATACATGTATTAAAAAGCACGCAGCTGGGTGTCGATCTTGCAATATCAGATATCAAAATCAGTTCAGACTGTCACAAACTAACTTTTAGCTGTTGTGTTAGGCTAGAGAGCCAAGCTGTCATCCATATTTCCCAGAAATGTAAGCGAAAGTAGATGTTCTACTTTACGTAAAAGCGGTCTTGAATATCAAGTTTCCCCTCAAAACATTACGATTGAGATCTGTGAAGATCCGGTGTAGAATGGGCCGTCAGCAACCCATGCTAGCCGTAAACGGCGACTATCCTTGTCGTAAGAGGCGACTAACGGGATCGGGTAGTCAGGCTCGCTGACTTGGTTGATGCATATCATCGTATCCAAATTGCGTGGATCGATGCTCATGATGTCAATCTCTGGATTGTCTGATGCACCGTCATATGTAGCTTGATTCCATGATGTATATACATTGAATTTTGTTTGAATCGATTCGATGTTTGTCGTAATTGGGAAACAATCATCATTGCCTCACATGATATTCTGATCTTCTGGCACCTGGCATGTGTTGGGTGGTTCCTTATCAAATGTCAACAAACTGAATGGCCTTCTACATGTTCAAATGCATCAGTTGCTGTAAACAAGCCAAATGACTGTTTAGCTGGCGTCATGACATATTTGGTTAATATGTTATCATGTTCAAGCTGGTCCTATGTGACCCTCAACATTAACGTGTGAGCTCACCATGTAACCTGATTTGTCCATTTATTGTAGTTCCCACAATGTTAATGTTCATTCCGAGTAATATAGTAGTCAGGGTCAAAGACGCGCGTACGTCATTGCTGTATGTTCTGCTATTGATCGATGAATGTGGGTAACGGACATGACCGGGTGTTATCATACGTTGCCTCGACTGTTTGAATTATAATAAAGTGTTGAAATTGTCAGAACTTTTATCATTGCCCACTTCCTCCCCACCTACTCCGAGTTCCATGATCGATAAATAAAATAAGAAGAAGAGGTTTTGTTGTGAATTATAATATAATCGACGGAGGGGTAACAAATGATTGATTAACCACAGTTTTGAATGAAATTGTGCAATCACAGGTAATGTTAGCTCAAGGTAAACAATGGTGGGGTAAGAAATTTCATTTTCAAAAGTTGTCTGAAATGTCACCCAAAAATTGTCAGACACACTACAAGTTCATTGTCGACACAGTTGCCTTCAATAGCGTGTATGACCTCGAGCTGCCTCAATGCATGCTGTGATACGCCGTCTCATCGATGACGTCAGTCTTCTGATGACGTGGACTGGATTCCGTTGCCACTCGTCTCTCAGGGCCTGCTGCAATTCTTGTCTGTTGACGGGAGGCTGTTGGCGTGCTCTAACCTATCTGTCAAGGTGGTCCAACATATGTTCAATAGGATTCATATCGGGTGACTGGGCAGGCCAGGGCAAAACGTCAACGTTCTGCTGGTTTAGAATGTTCCAAGTCAGTCTTGCAGTATGGGGCCTGGCATTGTCGTGTTGAAACAATGTCCCCTGATGTTGGTTTTGTAAGAACGGAAGCACAATTGGCTGCAACACTTGGTCTCTGTACTGCAGAGCGTTCAGGTTTCCCTGTATAATCACAGATACTTTTTTAGTCCCAACGAGGTCCAGGTCAGCCGAAATTGCTGAGACAGAAGGCGACGTCTTAAATACTTAAAGCAACAACAAACAACAACAACAACGACGATACTGCTATAGCGAATGCATCTTGCTGTCATGTGTCAATCTGCCATCGTAAAAGAATTAAAACAAATTATAAATTGATACATAACAGCTGTTGGATTGAGCTGAGGTCAATGTGTGACATGTCATGTGACTTTCATTGACTGGAAGACAACCAGCCTGGTTCCCTGGGTGTGCTGTGCTGGCGCAGTGTAGCGCCAGCGAAGCATACACAGGGAACCAGGCTGGAAGACAACGTACAGCTTGACACTACTTGTGTAAATCACGGAACAAGACAGGATATATTACAGGAAACACTGTTTTCAAGGACCAACATCGATCTATCAGCTGGTGCTCAGCAATATGTCTTCAGGTGTAAGTATAGCCGGCATTAGATATAAGATCAACTTGCCCTAGCGACATTACCACCCCATAAAAGCGCCGCGTGATATCCGCTCCCATCCACCTGTGGCGCGAGGGGTATGCCCTGTTACATTGTGTGGTGTTCAGGTAAATGTTTGTAATGAACAGGATATTGATCATTAACTATCAGATATGTAAAACAGGCAAGTGTGTAATAATGTGAGTAGTTCGCCTTTGTCTTTTAACTTACATAGTTAGCAATATCAGGGTAGAGAGCATAACCTAATTGACCTCCATATTTCCCAGAAATAAAACCGAAAGCGGATAGGCTTCTTTTCTTATAAGTCGCCTTGAATATCTAGCGTTCCCCTCTTACATAACGACCGCTTGAATGGATGGAGAGTGTGCCCAGAGAACGGAAGGTCGGTAGATTGATCGTTATGCGAAAGACGTTAAAAGATGGTATTTATTGTTACACCGCCTGACATTCGGCATTAAGGAGATTAAACAAGGACTGGTCGACCCGAAGCCAGTATAACATGTTTGTTTGTGGTATCCATGAAAAAACCGAGACACCATATCCCAGTGGGGTAGCAATATCACCGGCATCAGTCCAAACTAGTATCGGCACACACACACACGTATGTACGGCATACACACACACACACACACACACACACACACACACACACACACACGTATGTAATTAAAAAAAGAGAAAATTTATTAATCATAAGTGAAGACAAAAATGTCATACCATAACTATAGTCACATATTTGATACTTTAATGGTTATATGGATTGTACCCCATATGGTTCATGTTCCTCCCAGGAATACACAAGGTTGGTTGGTTTGTTGTTTAACGCCGCACTCAGCAATATTCCAGCTATATGACGGCGGTCTGTAAATAATCGAGTCTAGACTAGACAATCCAGTTATTAATATCATGAGCATCGACCCACGCAATTGGGATGATGACATGCATCAACCAAGTCAGCGAGCCTGGCCACCCGATCCCGCTAGTCGCCTTATACGACAAGCAAAGTCACCTTTTACGACAAGCATGGGTTGCTGAAGACCTATTCTACTCCGGAATCTTCGCGGGTGAGTCCGTTGTAAAGGTATTCTGAGGGCAATACCTAAAAAAACCGAATGCTTGCTACATGAAAAGTAACAGTATTGGTGCATGCTACTCTGAATGGCGTTATTTTGTCAATGCAAGGTTTCTTTTCGGAAAGTATTATTACTAAATTATTTTTAGTTATTGTTCAGAATCTTTTTGCATCCCTCCATTTCAAATTATTTATATTTAACACCTTCATCGTACTGTCACACGTATTGTAACAAACTATAACTTTGTCTTATTCTCGTTTTTCAAAATAAAAATCCTAGATGTTTGGAACCAAACAGTCCTAGCATTATGTCTTATTCATACATATAGCACATAATACTCCAGTTTAACCTTTCTCGATGTAAGACACAATTTAATATCTGGGAAATTTAACCCTAATGTCTACCTTCAACCCTTATCATGAAAAAACATTGTCCATGGTTCAACGGTTCCTGCCTTTT